TTCATTTTTACCGACTAAGAAGCCAGCAGGATTGGAACCCCTAACATGAAGGATCAGGAGACTGAACGTAGTTTGACATCTAAGCTTGGACCTTTCATGCATGATTAGTGCTGTGAACCTAACAAGTCATCCTGTGTAGCTCGTTGATTCGTAGAGGTGCTGTAGCTGGCACACCACGCGAAGGTGCAGTCTTGTCGTGATGGAACGTTGCTTTAAGGTATATCCAGTCTAGGCAGCTCTGCTTCTGTACATGTGTACTAGTTACTATTTCCCATTTGACACCTGGTAGGATTAAGTCCCCTCCCCGGCAAAAACGCCATACATCTCGTGAATAATTTGGTGCATGTTGATTATATTGTCTGAAACAACTCTGGCTTACAATGAAAAGTCTCGCTAAGGCTTACGATGATGAGCCTTCAATATTTTATCCATTAATGACAATCTGGTTTATACGCCAATGTTACTTTCTGTATTGTGTATCATTAGATTAAATATGAAAGATCAGTTATGCGTTTCCGGTTTCGGGAATTATCTGGGTTCCATAATGGACAGAATGGTAATTGGACATGATAATTTCCGTGTAGCACAGAAGCGTAGCGCAAAGAGATTGAGGCTATCTCTTTGTTTTCACTTCGCATTTGAAATTAAAATATGTCGCAATAGTTGAAACTGCTTTCTCTCTAAAGGCCGATTCAAATTTATTTTATTGACAAGCTCAGGAATCGGCATCATTTGCTAAGTGTCTTGCATATGAGACACATCGAAATGTTAATGGCTAAAAAACAGTTATGGTTAGATGAAGAACAATATCTTGTCTTTTTTCGATCCCCTTCCATCACGACGAGGCTGCACCTTGACATGGTGTGATGGCTTTTGCACGTCTATGACCCCACGAACTATACAAAATGGCTTTTGTCAAGCCAACCATCTGATCATGCCTGGAAGGTCGAAGGGTAGAGGTCTCCTGGTCCTCCAAGTTGGAGGTTCGACTAGAATTTGCGTTTCAGTCGGTAAAAAATGAAGGAGTAATTGATCCAAGTAGATGGGCATCCACGTCGCTTCAACCGCTGCCTTGCGGCTAGGTTCTTGTCAGAACTATAGGCTTTGGTTGAGAACCCTAACCGCTCTCCTGCTTAGTGGCTGGATACCCTAGCAGTATCCGTCCATCAAACCCCAATGCATATGCATTGCGAGTTTGGCAGCGATCAGTGAAGTTCGCTTCTCTGTATTTCGCTGTACGATGATGATGATGATTCGATCCCCTATGTACACCTTCAAGGGGAAAGTAAATGTTATGGTACATTTACCGGTCGAAAGTCGCTAGATTCCTGTTAGGATATATGAAGCTTTCTTTGAAAAAATATATATATTTATATAATAACTGCTCACTTTTTGATAATGAACAGAAGTTTACCCTTTGTACGTCCCGCTTATTTCATTGAGTTATTGCTTATGAATATGACGGGCACGTCAGCAACCCCTTTGGGTACTAAACTCCTAATATCGTTCCATAAGATCACACGCGACTGGCGTTAAGAAGCTCATTCTTTGGTCATGCTCGGGCCTTATATAGTTATCCACTGGAAATCACTGGCTTTTGTTTACTTTTATATATAATCGAATAATAACGTCATGCAAACATGAAAATAAAATGTTTGAAATGCAGTATATTAAAATGTGTGATGCAAGGGATTTATTCTCACTGCCTTGCGGATCAGACTGTTTAGTCTTTTTCCAGTCTGGATATCCCGAGAAAACGTTCTTTTAGTGATAGGGGATCGCCCTTTCCATAACCCTATTTATTTAGTTGTCTAATTATGGTGTACCTAGATCTGATTTAGCTGTAGTTATCTACTCATAAATGGTAAATGAAGTCAATCATTCTTTTATTGATGCGTGTATGCTAATCACTATCACACCATCCATTTATACCTTTTAATCATTAACCCTCTCAATGTGCATTTGTCAGTGGAGATGGAAACCTTACGTTGCATTTATTGTATCAGTATGTCGCTTATATTACCTTCACAATTCACGTGTTACAGTAATAAGATAAAAATAACTAGTACACGAACGTACTCATCTATGAATATTCAATGCTTTTGTTACATCGCAAGTTAATATGTGAAGTATGTCAAGATCAGCTGAAGTTATCAAAGGATTGAGCACCATGGACCTGCTGCTAAAAGTGGCTTACTTTAAATATGCGAGGGATTAGTACTACAACTACTTTGAGGAACCCGAAGCAGTAGTTGCGTCAGCATTAAGATCGAGTTTCAAAGGGCGAATGGTCAAGAGCCTTGCGCGTGAATTATGACAGCAGTCCAGCATACTGCCACTTGCGGTGATGCTTTGTAAGCCTAGGTGTTACCTAATTTTTCGGCGTGTCGTTCTTTATTCTTTGAGATTTTTCTGAATACGGTTTACCTTCGACCTGCAGATATGTGGCTGTTCACAAAAGACTCGGCAAACACAGTCGGTTCACTGGGATTAGGCTTCTCCAGTGATCCGGTTACCGGTTTCACTTTTTCACCACCAGAATCAAATCAAGACGAATCCTTCTCCATCGCCGGACCATATGGTCTTCAGTGGCGTTTGCGTCGAGCACAGAGACGCAAACCCACTGAGGATGCTTCCATTCTCACCTGCAGTTTGACATCCGCCGTAGCTACCAGTGAGCAGGATCTGATAATGAATTCGCTTCGCCAAACCGTAAAGTGGATGAAAACTCTTCGTCATCCTAATATTTTAAATTGGTTGGCAAGCACTGAGTTAACCGGACCAAAGTTACCTTCTGAATTTCATATTGCCACAGAACGTGTCCTTCCACTGCGAGAATATTTACGCTTAAAGGCTGATAGCGGAAACTTCAACTTTATCTCATCCTGGGGTCTTCACCAGGTACGTAATTTTTAATGTATTTGAACTGTTATTTTCTAACCAGTGTTATTGATCACTTATTGGATGTCAACCCTAGCCCTGTTGGTCAGAGCATGGTGCTACATATCTCTGTCATACTGTTTTATGAGACTGAGGTTATGCGGTTCATACCTCCCAGGTCGCGGTTGTCGTGTTTGGACTAGACGTACGAATGATACGAGCGACTTTTGCCTAACCCCTAACGATAACGCGGAGAGAGAACAGCTTTAGACAACAGTCAGTGTGTTTTCTTTTATTAGATATTGATACGCAAATATATAGAACAAATCACGCATACGAGAACGGTGCAGTGACGCACTAATCAATCAGACTGCGTCCATGACATATCAATTGATCGATTAGACAAACATTGGCTGATTCGTTCTGCGATCATCCGATCGGGCTCAGCCTGTCTGGAGCGTTGCGAGCGTGCGTGTGGCCTGACTCTAAGGCGTGCGCGATCGGACGGGTTTCCGAAGCTCCGTCCTGACAGCGGTAACGGTCAATGACTTCACTTTTCACTGAAGTTTATTGGGCACCTTGGAATTTTTACCCTGTCCGGAGGACGTACAATTCGATTAATTAGATTCTGAGCTCCGCCCTACTGCCTTGTAGGTCTAACTTTCCAGTCAGACTCTTAACTCTCTTGACCGCCCAAAAAACCTGCAGACATCACGTGAGATGTGGGTGTTAATGGTCAAACGGTTTAATTCGCTTTCACCAGGGTGCTTTGGTCCGCAGGGTCCAAAGTTCAAACGTCACCACCGCCACCCAACTTTGGTGGTAAGCAGCTTCACTGTCGTTCGGCTGAATATTTGGTTTATACTAGTGGGGCCTTACGTAGTTCGACACTTCAAATCCTTGGACTGGGTTGCCGTTTCTCATGAGTAAAATAGTAGGCCCTTGTGATCATAGGATTTGCCCACTCTTGTGTTCATCACATAATATTGTGGATGATAAAACATTTAATACATAAAGTTTGCAAATTGATACTCTTCGATCAAACACTTGCGAATGCTTTTATCAAATATGGTGTAACGAAATTGCGATTATCAATTGATGGAGGTAACTTAGATCAGAAAAAACTACTATTATTTCTCCTGTGCTCCTAAAATTAATTCATCCGCTCACACAGAGCAGCCCGGATAAAGTCCAAGTTGCCTTCTATCACAACATGCATGAGCTTCTCAAAGCACCCAAAGCGTCACGTCGCCACTTGGCGTAACCCTCTTCGGCACGGATGTGGACTCAGGTTGCTCACATATCTATTAACTACAGATGAAGAGAGTGTGTAAAAGACTGCCGTTCGTATTGGTCTACCTGCTTAGACTCCGATCACGCACTGGTTTGCGCCAATTTGTCTATGGTGGCCGCAAAAGATGAGATGCGAACAGTTTGACGTCGCCGACCTTTCTGACCCGGCCGTGCTAGCCGATTACCAAAACGAGTTGGCTACAAGGCTAACTACTACCCCACCAAGAAGCGTAGATCAACACTGGACAACCATCCAAAATGCAATGCACTCACCTAGTTTACACAGTTGTGGCCTGACCCGTCGAGGTGTAAAATACTGGGTCTCCTCCAACTCTCTCAGACTTTTTGACGTGCATCGGGCAATTCCGGTCGCAGTACACCTGAAATCAAGGATAAATTCTACAAGGTTATTTCGCGGTTACTCCAAAGCGTTTGATCAACGGACGTCGTAGTAGTAGCCGGAGACTTCAATGCTCACGTGGAATCCCTGGAAGATTCAGAAAGGTTTCTTGGCGGAACACATGCAATCCCAGCCAACCGGATGGACAACGGTAATCGTCTACTTAAACTCTGTGCGGACGACGGATTGTTCGTGTCAAACACGAACAAGGCTTTCATAAGAGCCAAATTCTCCTTACGCCTAGCAAACAGCCACCGACAACGGATACGCACGATGCAGCGTCAGCGATTGCTGCAAATCGGCATTCAAAGGGTAACTCTGCGATCGCCTATCGGCTCAATCACCAGCCGAAGGACTTCATGAACACTGAAAGCAAATCAAGGAAGCTATGCAAATGTCGATAAAAACAACGTCGGACCCCATCGGCTTTTAAGAATGGAGGCTCAGCCTTAGTTTCGGAGTTGAAAAAACTCCTGGGCTCCGTGTAGGAAAGGAAAGAAGTTCCACTGAATGATGTGAATCAGTGATCATACCGATTTACAAGAAAGGTGACCAATCCTCTTGTGAACAGCAGGAATTAGTTTAATCAACATCGTCTCTAAACTTCTCACTGGCATCATACTCCGTTGATTGTCTGCCGCACGAGATAAGTACACACGTGAGAATAAAGCTGGTTTTAGATCTGGTCGAGGTTGTATCGACCTCATCTTTCCGCGAAAGATGTTCCCGAGAAGTTAATTTCAATATTACAATCTCTTTATACTCAGCCGAAGCCGAGTACGAGCTTACGGCACGTTTTTACCCGAGTTCACCACGGAAAGTGGTGTTCGTCAGGGTTGCCCTCTCTCTCTTCATTTCTATTTAACTTTGTCATGGATTTAATTCTTGAAAAAGGCCTATACTCGTGAGAGGATAGCGGTGTAGATTTACTGCCAAGTGATAGACTGTCTAATCTGGAGTATGCATACGACATTGTACTGTTAAGTGAAGATCCAGGTAAGTTGCAAGATTTTCTGAACAGCTTGAATGCCACTGTACCCATGTTCGGTATGCGTTTTGCACCTTCAAAGTATAAAATGTTACTTCACGACTGGGTTGGTCCAGCACCCAGGCTCACTCTAACTAGGGAAGTAATAGAGCAGGTGGATAGGTTTTGTTATTTGGGCAGCTACATCTCACCCGATGGACGCATCATGGATGGAGCGTCAGCTCGCAAGCAGAAGGCTCGGTTGGCATTTGCCAACCTCGGCTATCGCGACATCCGGTTGTAAGTGAAAGGTCGAGTGTATGGTGCGGCAGCTCGGCTAGTTCTGCTCTGTGGCACAGAAACGCGGCCATTAAAAAGAAACAGGATAAAGATAGACTGTCGGTGTTCGAACACCGCTGTCTAAGCAGCATTGCACAAATCTGGTGGGACAGTCGGACGAGCAATGCTGAGGTTAGGTTCAGAGTTTTAGGTATTCGCGGTCGCCTATTGGAGGAAATGGTCGTCCTCCGTAGATTACGTTGTTGGAACATGAGATACACATGCCACCAAATAGGTTGCCTCGGCCAGCGGCGTTTGCCAAGGCAGGAAGTGGGTGTAATAAAGCCAAGGGTGGTCAAGCTAAGACCTGGCATGAGGGTATGAAAACCCTAACCAGGACTCTGGGTCACATAGGTCCCGTAAGACTCCCTGGATGGGAACCTCGGGACGATCGTAACCGATGGTTAGAGGCACTGAGTGATATGGCTGAGTGTCGTAAACAGTGGCGTTCGTGCATCTTGTTAATTTCTCTGCAACATTAGTCCACTGAAATTCTAAATTTTCTCTTTGATCCTACTTCCAACCTCTCCTGTCTTTCCTCTATTTCTCCTAATGTTCATCCAGATGGCCAGCCGAGAGATAGCAACCAAAACCGACGCATGAAAGTGTATGATTAATGGTTGTACAAACTGAAAAACTTGAGAGACGATCGAGAAGCTTGATGGATGCTACTAGCAAAAGAGATGGAGTCAGCAGCTAGGTGTGGAAACACCCGGCAACTATTCCAACTCATCCGTGCTACCAGCCCCAAAAGGCAGTGCGTTAGTGAAACAATCTGCGAAGTGGGTGGCACGCTAACATACAGTCATCACCGAGGCTTGGAACGCTGAGCAGAGCACTTCACATCGCAGTTCAACCAGTTTCCCACCCTGCCTCCCCCAAGCAGTTCGTTTAAGAGTACAACCTGGTCACTATCCATGGGACCATCCACAGAAGCGGAGATCCGAAAGGAACTCCAAGCTCTGAGAAGCCACAAGGTAGCTGCATCAGATGGTCTACCACCTGCCCTCTTTAAAGATAGTGGAGAAGCTCTCGTGAGAGAGACTGTTCTTGAAGCTCTGAGAAACCGATTGTTACATCCATCTACAAGAAGGGCTGTCGTAACGTTTGAGTCTGATTCCAATAGCATCGAAGTTACTGGCGTCCGTTTTCTTACGCAGACTAAGCCCATTTCACGAAAGGCCAATCAACAAGAAGCAGAACGGGTTTCCTGGACAGCGTATTTGCATAGATCCAATTTTCACCCTTCGTCAGTTACTAGAACACCACCACTCATACAAACGTCAAACCATCGTCGTGTTTTTGGACATCAGAGTGGTCTTCGATTCCATCGATCGCCCCGCACTGTGGAACTGATTGCGGAGAGTACTCGAGAAGTACGTTCTACTTCGAAAAGCGCTCTACCGCCAGACCTCGGGGAAGGTTAGGGCCTATGGTGAACCTTCACCCTCATTTCCTGTCACCAGTAGGGTACGACATGGTAGTTCTATCTCTCCGTTTCTCTTCAACTTTTCCATAGATGATGTTCTGCAAACCGCGTTACGTAAAGTAACGAACACTGGAGTCGGGCTTCTTTCTAGAGACAGAGTCGTAGACTTAGAGTATGCCGACGATATTGCCTTATTCGGTGATAGCGCACCGAAGATTCAAGAGACTTTGAATCGTTTGGCAATTGAAGTTACTCGTTAGGGTTTGTCCTTTGCACCTTCAAAGTGCAAAGTGTTGTTGCAAGATTGGCAGGAGCCTGTTCCTGCACTTTCGTTGGGTAATGACATCGTAAAAGTAGTTGAAAGCTTTGTCTACCTCGGGAGTTGTATAACGACTGGCGGAGGTGTGGGCGAGATCCCTCAATGCGTGATCAAAGCTAGATTAGCGTTCGCCAATCTACGGCAACTATCTCCGGCGCTATATATCCCTTTCACTGAAAGGGCGTGTGTATTGCGCGACGGTGTGCGCTGTTTTGCTTAAGGGCTGTGAAACCTGGCTTCCCCGAGAAGAGCATGTCCAATGACTATCCGTCTTCGATAACCGTTGTCTGCGCAATATCGCCCGCGTATGGTGGGAGCATCGCGTGAATAATGTTGAGGTCGGCCGACGTGTGTTAGGATACGATGGTCTTCCGTCGAACAATATAATTTCACTGCATCGTCTTAGGTGGTTGGGGCATTTCCTACCAATGCCTGAGCAACGTCTGACACACCGTGCACTTCGCAGACATCGATCCCGGCTGGAAGAAACAGTGCGGTGGACAGGCTATGACGTGGCGCAGAGGGTAAAAGAGATTGTACTCAGATCTGGCTTGTGTTGAGGCTCCCGGCTGGGGACCCAAAGATTCAGATTGTCTTTGGCTGGAGACACTGCGGGAAATGGCTTCAAACCGAAGTCAGTGGTTTGAATGCATACTTTTTTGTGTGCTATCTCAAAAATAAACAAAAAGAAAACTCAAAACGGCGTACAGCAAACAAACAAAACAGTTCGTTTTTCCCAAAGTTGACTGTTTTCTTTGTTTTTCGCCTTTCTGTTTCTATATTGTGCTTTGAGTCCATGGATATTTTAGCGCCGTATCTGCAAAGATTGGTGTTAAATACATAAATACATACAGGGGGTTTCTAAAATATAACTGACAGTTGTTAGCCCGTGTATCAGGTAAACGGAAGTAAAAAGATAATTATTAGTACAACACATGGAATGTCTTTGCAACAGCCAGGAAACAGATTTAGACAAAAACTATATACTACGAGAAAAACCTTGAATAAGTTACTAGAGTGGTGATTCCCTTAGCTCAGAAACCCGAGATCTGCTGTGGGAGGGATAAAGGCAGTTGACATCACTGAGTCTCTGGCTAAGATCAAGAGTCACGTAGTGCGACTTCGGATAATAAGCGGGGCTGCTAGAGGCTGCAAATGTTTTCAGCCCACTTGACTGGGTTTAAAGTGGATTCAATGGTAAGATTGTTGATTCAATTGAAAAGTCAAGTATTTTTGATAGTTTGGCTTGTAAACCACATTATCCACGCTCTTGGAAAACAACTCTAGGAAAGTTGCGGTGGAAAATAAATCGGGATAAAAGTATCCATAAATCCCTCAGAGTTGCTTACTAATCGCTCAGGTGCCTTCAAATGTACTCTCTCAGATGGCTAACCTGATAATGGTGCGAACAACAAAATTGAACGTGCAACCTCTTCTTTTAGTTTTTAATTAAAACTTGCTTGAAGCATGAT